GAAAATGAACTTATTGTTCTTTATTAAATTACCTTCTATTTACGCTTAAATGTCTGTGTTAAAATATACATTACATACCTACATTTGTTTCATTAATATAGTACTTACATAAATCTTATTTAGCCCGTAATATAGTTAGATTACAGATTGTATTCTACAAATGTTTAAATTAAAGTAATAGGAAAATTTCAGTTTAAACTATTCATTTTTAACCCAATAACTGTGTTCACAGAAATAAATTTGTTTAATATAAAACTTGTAAACTGGTTTATGATTTTTAAAATAAAATGTAATTCATATGCTAAAAATGTTTACAGAAATTCATTTTTTGGAAAATAATTTCTAAATACGCGGTGTGATCTACATATTTGTATTCTTATAAATTCCGTTAGATTGAAAATGAAATTTAATTTTTTAAAACCGTGTTGGAGCTCCTGTTATATTGGTTTTGACAGGTGGATACATACCTATTTGGAACATATAAACTTTGTAGTCAATGAGGTCAGAAATTCCTTTTAGAAAGGAAAAAAAATCAATCCTGTCTGCATGTAAATCTAAGAATGATTACTTCGATTCAAATTCGACCCACACGGTTTCTCATTCCTTTGAAATTGACGTGATCGACGAATTGAGAATCTGACTCGAGAAAACCGGTCTGCGCATGCGCGCACGCTAATGTTGCGGCTCGAGCGATTCGTCAAGTGGATCGAGTCAGTATTGGACAGACACTGTACCGTGTCACGTGCGCTGGCTTTTCGACTAATTAATCGAACGATTCGTTCGACGCGCGAAAACTGTCGACGAAACAAAAACAAAAAGGCAAACGGTGTGCAATCGTGAATATCGGATTACCCTTTCTCGCGAGGTGAGTCCTAGAGTTTACTTTAAAAAACATAGGTATATCTTGCGAATAACATTAATGTTTGTTCTCCCTTCAATTTATTTCGATTTGAAATATTTAAAAAATAACATTAATTTGCTTAATTGCCCGAATTAAGTACATTTGATGATATTGTTATTGGTGATTTTTTAATATTAATTTTCGCTGTTTGCATGATAGTTAGAATTGAAAACAATAAATTTGTAATTCTTCGTCTTATTAAAAGCTATTGCTGAATGAAGCGAGTGTAAAAGCGAAGGGGACGTGATATAATCTGATTCTATTTCTGTTAATGATACATCTAGTTATTTGAAATTGTAATATACATTATGAAGCAACAAAAAACAAGCCGATTAACATGTAAATAGACGGTTAGAGCCTTTTTTTTAATCAGTTTATGACACTATAGCATGAAAATATTGTAATATTCCGCGTTTTTCTGGCTTTCTCGAGAACTACAAATTCAAAATGTCATAGCGTGGAGAATGTATTGAGAAGCAGCAAGAGTAGTTGCACATCCGTCTGAATTATTCAACACGTTTAAAAGTCAGTTTCATAGAACATTGCATATTTTTCTGATAATGTCAAGAGACTTCACTTCTATCTTTCTGTAAGTGATATTATAGACATGTATAAATAAAATAGAATTATTACATCGTAAATATTCAAAAGTAACATATAAATTTTCGCTGTTATCAGCAGAGGCTAACTTAAGTTGAATTATTACGGATACAGTGGCCAGCACACTAACGGTGCAGTAATTAATTTCATTGTACCAAAAAACTTTCGGCATCTTTAAGAGGCTGCGCGAACAGTAGCAGTCATTATGTTACATATATGTGTCACTAGTAAAGGCGTCTCATCTTACTGGGGACACAAAAACATCAATCCCTGTTTGAGCCACTTAATTTGAGTGCAGTGTGAGTCTGCTTGTAGTTAAAATTTTAATTAAAATTCCTTAACTCAGAAGTTTCTTAAGTTTTAACTTTCTATTTAATTATTAATATTTAAATTTTTATTTTAATTGTACGTTGAATTTTATAACTAAAACCTTTAAAAAAACTTATATTACGTGAATACATAACATTAATAACACATTTTTAAATTGTTTACTGTACAAGATTTAGAAATACATCAAAATTGGGAATAAAATTCAACCATGCAAGTAAAAACAATAAGATTATTATTGTTATCGTCATCATAACATAGTTAGTATAATAACATAGTTAACGAATGGAAAAATGTAACAATATACTTGTCTTCTTGTTTTGTTATGTAATGGTACCTACAAATATACAATTATTATACAAAATAAATGCTTTATATGATAAAACTCACTATGGTATTATATATAGGGAAGGATAAAAAAAGATGCAACAGAACCAGTTTCAAAATAAACGGCCTATTCGATTCGAGCAGGCACAAAAATGAACGCCACAAATCCCGAATGTTAAATATGCGTCGCGTTTATTTTACGAGTCTGACTCAGAGACTATTTTCTTCGCGCTCGAACGCTATTTTCGAAGGATCCGTTCACAATTTTTCTTTCATTCGATTTTTTCTGTGCTTATAACGACTGAGAAAATCATTTTCTGAAACAAGTAATTTTGCTTCGTTTGCATTTCTATGTAAATAACAACAACTCACTTACGCTTTAGCGTTACTTAAACATTTGGCTTCGTATAGAATATCAAAATAAAATGTTTCGTATGAAGAGAAAGTGATGATTTAAAAAGAAAGTCAATTGACTCTAATACTTATAAAAAACCGTAATATTTTTTTATCTTGAGAACAATTGTTCGATAAAAATATGGTATCTGCATTCGTTAAGCATTGTTTATATAAAAAAATAACTAATAAACTCATTTTTCCATCATAACAAGATACACTTATAGTCTTTGTAGAAAACTTTGTAAATTACTCTGTGTGGCCACACCTATATACACGTACATACATTCCAGCTACATGGAATTCCTACCAACCTCCTACCAACCGTTGCGTGATACTGAAATAAACAAACTGGAAAATATTTTTTTCTGGTCCTCGACCGTCATGTTCTAGGGCGTGAAAAAAGTGACAAATTTGTATGGAAAACGAAAGGATAAATAAAATGTTATTCACGTGAGATCTCCCCTTTAATTAAGATATTAATCTGTGATGCTGTACAGAGAACTGTCAATTAGGGAGATGATGGAGAGACGCGATCCAATCACGTTCTTTGTCGCATACGTAATCCAGTGTGCAGACGACCGTTCTTGGTACATGGACCGAAGGTCAAATCCCACTTTCCGTCTTCGTGAATCTTTTACCATGTAAGGTATACCCCAAGGACGATTTTGATCATGTTTTTGTATCCCAGAACTTTGGCAATGTAAAAGTGCAACCTGGATATCATTGGTACAAATGATGTTACACTAATTATATAACCATGGACAACTCTGTTCGTAGTATAATTTCCATTTTAGAAAATCGCATGTAACACTTTTTAATCTGTATATTACCGTGGAAAATTTGTAGCATCCTTCAGCACCCAAATATGCTTTATTATATTATTTTGCTAAACAACCAATCATACATATAACTTTTAAATTTGACTTCAAGTAAGTAGTGTTTCAATACTATAATAATGTATTTTCAATAACTCCATTTATTTATTTAAGAATTTTGTTTTTTATCAAATCAGAACATAATATACATTCTTGCTTTAACATTGATAAAGTTGGTGGAATAAAAAAATTCTTTTGACTTATGATTAAATAATTTCTTTTTAATACTTTGTCAATTATCACTACTTGCGAGTAGTAACTATTATAATTCACAGCGTTCAATGAAGAGGAAGGTGAAATTAATAATCAGCGATGATAGTCGGACGAACTTGCAATTTGTCGTGTTACCAAAATACGATTGCTTATTGTTCAAGTATATCTGTATAATAAGATATACGTCTTACTTTCGTGAAAGTCGTTTTGGTTATATTTACGCGAATTAAACCAGGAATGATGCGTCAGACGTGAAAGAGAAAAAGAAAAGAGAATAAAACTCCAGCTGTCAGTTGGCCGGACTATTACCACCCACGCCATGTCGAATGTCCCTGTGAAATTTACGTGAGTCAAGCTTTCCTTCCACCTCGACTTTCTTGGATCGAAAATTCACGCGTGCAAGTCACGTTTTACATCTGTAACCCACGTGAAGTGGATGTACGAGTTTTTTCACATGATCCTAAATATTGCAATTTTTCTGTTTCTATTCATATTTTACTATACTTATTTCTATTAATATACGCACGTATTATTTATATTTGTAATTAAAATTTTCTATAAAATTAAATAAATTACGGTCACTATATACTTGCAAGTTGAACCTAAGAAACGCTATTTTCGTGTAACGCCACTATTAATCACAACAAAATGTTCCTGTCTGGCAAGAACAGTTGGTTGTTTTTGCCAATTCATCTAATTCTCTTTCCTCATTCTTATTGGTTCGAGCAGAATTAAAAGATTATGTATAACGAGACTCCTACGGCCGGTAAAAAACTGAAAAAACGTAGAGTTTCACTCTCATTTGTATGAATCCTATTTTTTCCTTAAAATCTTAATTTACACAGCTGGACTGTGAACTGTCAATTACAAGAGTCACGATGAAATGACATCTTTTGTAGCGTGCGTAATCTAATTAGTTACGTTCCATTGTTTCAAGAGTACAAAAACTGTCTTAATTTAAGCTCACAACGTAAAGAGTTGTAATTTCACTTATTTTTTAAGTGAAGATATATCTCAGAAAATGTTATCCAGAATGTTCATACGCTGACACGTTTCATTTCAACTTCATTCGTAATTCAAAGAATTACTTATAATAACTTCAACTTTATCAATTGATAGCCTACAAAGTCAATGCATATTTTATTCTGATTGAAATCCACAAAATGTAAAAGTAGTGAAGGTGGAAAAGTATATGGAAATTCGATTTAGCTTATTGCTGTATAAAATGTTACATTGAAAAAAGCATCATTAAAAGACTTCGCTATTTTCTATACGACAGTCCAATAACTGTACGGGTTGTCTATTTCTAGATTCTATTATACAGCATACAAACATAGAGACACGTGACACATGTTACCTATGTCCCTCCCGTCAATGCCTGATTAATTACCTCTTACAATCGCCACGATCACATGTTACGTTCGCAATCGATCCTTTCATTCACTCGGGCCTCTGGAGTTGTCTTCTATGAATCGTCGAATGTAATCACCATGAAAAACGTATTAATTTGTTTCTGTGAAATATATATTTCTGAAAATTACTTCATCAAGTGTAAATTTCTTTCGACGTGTTACACAGAAATGAATAGAAAGCTAGTCGATGAAAAACATGTTTAACCTTTTGCCCTATGATTTCTTTCTGAATTGTGATCGATCTAGCTGCTTTGTAATTATGTATAATCATTGATAACAAATTCAATAACATTTATTTTTTTTAAATTCTATTTGAAATCTTCACCACGAGTCTGACACGATACTGTAGCGTAAGGGATTAATTAAAAATCGAATTAACGATGCGTTGGTTTCAAATAGACTGTCAAAATTAAGGTACCGATCGCTGAAATTAAAACAGAGAACATTACATGTTTATCTATGTGTGCAGACTAATTCATTAAATTAGACAAATGTTGATAAATTTCTTCTTCTATTACGAAGTTCGTTAATTCATACATAAAATACGGACTCTGGTAGGTTTTGTGCGTAGCGTCAGCAATAAAATCCACGAACTAGGTTTCTCTGCGTTTGTATGCTTATCAAATTAGACTTTGGTTCAGACGCAGACCATCGAAAACTTATTTCTTTCGAGAACAAAATATGTAACACGATAAAAATGAAATCAGTCAGATTCTCCAATATAAGCGGATCACTTACGCAACTGTTCTCATCTCAGAATCAGATCAACTGCGGTCATCACCATTTTGATTCGCGCGGAGGTCCCGAACAGCGATGTACAATGTCACTACCACTATGTTGACGATCTGACACGAGAGTTTATATCACGTAAGCAGTTACAGTAGCGTAAATGGATGAGACATTGAATCATTCGAAACGTAAGAGTGAATATAATCACTAAGCTATTCTATAGAGAAGTACGATTATTATAAATTAAAATACTAGCATATTTATTCATATAAATTTCATAATTTTCAGTGTTTAACATCTAGAAAAAAGTGTCGCAAATCGTTTTATTTTTCAATTTTTTCCCATTTTTATGAAAGAGTAATTTGTTATTTTCCTTGCAATATTATCGGACTTATTTCTAAACTGAATTTCACCTCCTAATTTTCTGAACAGTAATAACTATCAAATATTGAATGTATTCGAATTGTAGACAATTTCAGTATAACAGTAAATGGGAATAAGCGGTTAAATTAGAATTTATGTAAATTATTTACTATTTTGATCTTTTCCAAGTAACTTAATAGAATAATAAAGTAGAAATGATTGAATTTTCGAAGTGGAATCACGGACTGACTGAAACAGAACATTTTTATCCGACTTGTTGGGTGAATACAAATTCTAGAAACCGTCCGGATATATGTTTCAAGGTTTAGTGGTGATCATACGAGTGCGTGTCTCCTCCACAGACGGTTCTCGGAAGGCCTCCTTGGCCCCTTTGCCCCATTCGCATCGATGTCTCCGTCGGAAGAACACGACCGTTAACCATTTCCCGAGGAAACTCCGTTACCAAGATAGCGCACGCCATCTTTATTTGAATTTCCAATTGCAAATTTCCCAAATTGGAGACTATAATAAAATTTCGATGATTAAATTATTTAAAGTATGGTGCAAATGTTATAAATTTAAGGTTTACAGGACTCTAGAATACATTATTTGTTAACCCTCTGTAATTGATTAAGTATACCATTTTTACATTTTCTCGAAATATTGCAGCTAAAGGTTTCAAGTAATTCTGTTTGACTATTAATTTTAATATGTTCGTTCTGATTCAAACTTCTTGCCTCATAACTTTGATTAAAGATAAATACAGTGATCATTACCAAAGAAATCACAAGACAAAGATTGAGAAGGAATTTCAATTGAGAATCGGTTTGAAAATTTTCGAAAATCTAGATAATTCGTATTGTTTCGATTTACAATCATAAATATATTAGTCGAATGGAATGAATCAGCTAGGTTCTATGAACAGTAAAACGCATTCTAAAGGGCGTGGTGTTTTATTATTGTATTTTTCAAAGAGTATCGTGCATAGCTGCAATAGATTTTGCGGATCAGACCATTAAAAAAATTCGAAGTAAGAATAAATTTCAGTTTGTAAGTTACTATCGAGGACACCCAGCATTACACGCGCCCACTTAATTCGAAATGCCACCGCTTTAGCCCACAAGTGACTTCAGCGCGGCCAATAAACCGGCTTCAGGTATTCACTGCGAAAGTTCCTGCACCGCGCCTCTAGATCCAGTTTCTCGATCTCTTCGAATCTGCCATATTTATAAACGTGCAACTTCTATAAATAGGACCTCTACGTTACATCCTATATTCAGATGAGATCTGAGCAACAAGGGTAGAATAAAGGTGTTCCTTTTATCAAAAACAGAAAAAAAAAGAAAAAAAAGATTCATTTTGATTGTGGTCGGTTACGTAAGAACCAGCTTTGTACTGAAATAAGAATCGTGTAAGCTGCACTTATTTTCGTGACTCGATTCGTTGGCGTGACCCTCTTTGAAAATAGCTGGCATTAGAGACAAAGGAAACATGCGATAGAAAGCTTTAACAGTCATAATTATTAGAAAAATCATGCTTTTATCAACGCCTGCTTTAAGAGTACAGGGTGTACACGTTATAATGGAAAACCAATTTCTATTGCAATAAATAGTTACTAAACTATTTGAATTTTTTACCAAAGCGTGCATAATTTGTATAAATACATGATTAATGTAATGATTCTTACTCGAATTACTCCGGATGAAATATAAAATATAATAGAACACGTATCTTTTAAACAAATAGTTAGTTTAATCGATTCCGGAATACTTGCAAGAAACATAAATGAAAATACATGTAGAACGCGAATGATGGAATAAATATTTCTAATAGTATACATTGTCTTTATGTATTTAAGACAAGAATATACATGTAAATTACATTTTCACTGATGATTTTTTATAGATATTTGTAGAAAGAAGTAATAGATATATCAATAATTTTCCATTATAAGATACGCTATTACTGTTTCTATTTAATTTCTTAATAAATTTTTAATAGGTTTATGCTTTTTTTTTAAACTGTTCACCAGGTCTCGTGAGGCAGGGAACTAAACAGAACGCAATGTCAACGGCAGTAAGGGAAAGAACGACAACACGCAGCAGCAGAAAGATCGTGAGTCATGGCAGCCCTATATCTGGCCAAAGCCAAGTTGCAACCACGGCCAACAGCCTCGAGAACAATTTAGGTAAATCTTTAATGTATCACCAGATGTATAATCATAATCGCATAAGTAATATTCCTTATTGTGTAAATATTACTTAACCTGTTCAATATCTCGCTTTCAAATATTGTGAGAAATGTAAATATTTATTAAATAAATGTTGCTTACTTTCCTCTTACAACATTTTTTAAATTTTATATATTACAGATATATATTATTGTCATTGTTACCCATATATATTTTATTTTTTAGTTGGAAGCTATTGCTGTATATTAAAGGTCATTTTTTAGGCTTTTTAAGAGTTCGTTAACTAGATAATAATTTCTTAAACTATCTATATCATCGGTTTACACTAATAATTCGTTCAAATAGCTTAGATGTGTTTTCCAATATACAGACATTCCGTCTATATTCAATCTACAGTCTGCAAAAGCTTTGAAATCTTTCAAACATAAATGAATCATTATTATCAAAATAAGTAGAAAAGCATAATAATTCGAGCAAAAATATTCTTTACAAATACAATACTTAACTTTTTACGATTATTGCCCTTTATACACTTATTTCTTTACAAGAAACTTATAAATGTCACAAGATTTTATACTTTTCAATTATATGGGTTATCAATCTTTATTTAGACTTCAAATTTATACTTCAAAAGTGTACCAGGAATTATGGCATAACATCTCAAACAAGGTCGCACCTTTCTGACGCTGACGTAAAACTTCTTCGAAAATGTTTATGATTAAGAAACCTACAACAGCTGAATAACCATGAATATAAACGTAACATAAACACTATTATATTTACATGAAGGACATATTACATCATTCTTTTTATATTACTTCTAAAATTCCGGGGATGTTTTATAAACATTTTAACAAATATCTTTTCTCTTTCTTACCGAAGTAAGTGAAATTTAAAACAAGTCAATTTTGGATATGAAATGATGAATGAACTATGCATTTTCAGAGCATTTTCTTGTAACTGAGTCCATTCTCAAATTAGGTGAACAATAATTGATTGAGTAACTATTCAAACACTCTGAAACAATGCTCGATTATTTATCAGCAGTTTTGCATTTCCTTTTATAAATTTCACGTTTGTTTGGCACATTTTTAGTGTGTATAAATATACGAAAATGAAATAAAAAAATTAAAATAAAATTGCTTTTAATGATTGCAGATGCCCTTCTTGAAGACTTGCAGACAAGTGTATCGAGAAGTGCCACCCCGAGCCGAGGAAGTAGAGCACTTTCACCCCAAGTGGAATATCGCGTGGCTGCAAATCCAACTAAGGTGGTCTCGGAAGGCAGGTAAGTAGATCATAAAGACATTTTTTGCAAAAACAGATTATTTTTATTATTACTTGCAGACTATTATTCAGATTTATAGGCTTTCATTCAACTTTTACGAAAACTGAACGAATGAAGTTGCTTTCTTATCGTAAATTTATTATACTTGAATGTTATATTAATACATTCTGTGTAGGTTTGAATATTCCTTCATACAACTACTGGTGTCTAAAAAACTACATATGAATGTAATTTGTTCTACAGCGATACACTGTCTTCTTTAACACATGCGAAATTTTCTTTCAATTAGAGAGAAAGGAAAGAATGAAATGAAGAGTAATTATTACAATAAATTCCGCACATAAAGTTTCTGTTTTATTAAATTATTGTTTTATGACTTTTATATTGATTTAACAGATCATGTGTTCATTGGTTTGAACCTTCGATATGCTGTTTTTATTAATAGAATCCTCCTGACAGAAGCTAACAATAAGTTCTGCAACATTCGTTGTTATTTCCGAAAAGAAATTTAAATCCCTAATATATTATAATTATTAATATATTAATGAGAAATTAAAAACAAAAATTCCATTTAAATTTCTGTTCGAATAAAGGTAGCTTTTTCTGGTGTCTAATAATTTAGTCAACATAGTGAAAAACTAATTATTGGTATGATAAGGTTTCATTCAAATATTTGTTCCGTTCAAATTTTTTATGTTAATTAACGTGTTACTTCGCCGTTCATTTACTCCTCAATTTACGAGACACGTAGCACTGTCTCTGAATTAGTTATGAGACAAACACGTGCTTACTTTGACAATGAGTAACATCTACAATTACTTTTTTACGTTATAATCTAATTTTTAAAGAAGTATATATAGAAACAACATAAGTAATGAAAAACGAGGTAACAATTATACATACCCTGTTTTATTAGGACTTTTTCACTTACTTAAATTGTTGGAAAGATGAAAAGTATTTTCTCTCGCTAAAATCAGTAAGTTTGTTTATAATTATTGTTGAAATATAATAATCAAGTATGTATTGTACATTTACAAATTTATCCCTATAAATCTTTTTAAAAAGACATATTTTTCAAAAACACCTTTTTATTATCAATCATCAATTCGAGTAATCTTGTTTCAGACCCATTTCGCCAAATCAGACGATGATGACCACTACTGAAAAATATGTGAGCACTGGGCCAAGCGGCGCACCGAGTAGTATACCCGGTTTGGAATTCATCGATTCAGAATTGCAGAATGTAAGTCTGTTTCTAAAACTATTTTATAGAAATATTCTAAAATATATAAAACACAGTGATTTCTTGTACTAACTAAAATAAAGCTTATTTCGAAAATGAGTACAGAAATCGCAAAATTAAATAAATATCAATAAAAAATCAGCAAATAAAATTAGAAGATATAAAATACTTGCAGAAGACTGTATTTCTTTTAGGACTATAATCTACCAAATAAGTGTATTTTATTATTGAAATATGATCACATTGGTTAGACAGTTTTCTTATTAACAGACTTGTCTCATTAGTAAGATAGAGTAAAGCAAAGAAATTAAACAAAAACCAATGAAGTTTCTTTTCTTTTCTTTGAAATTAATTAATTGATAGTTAACAAATTAAAAATGAATAAATAATTTGTTTTTGGTCCTAGTTCTTCTAAAATTACCTCTGAGATTAAAAAAAAACGTTACCATTATTTCAAGGAACAATTTTAAATATCTATTGTTGTAATAACACAATAAGTAATTGTTTGTTTTAGTTTTAGTTATTTCTCTTGAAAGGATTAGGTATACTTTAAAATCAGCCTGTATAAAATCATGTATGTTCAGTGTATAACAATAAACGTGTTGTGCTACGTGTCCGCATTACAGTTATCCTCCAGTGCACTTCTCGCGTTTGTGTCCACTTGAGTGAGAGTAGGCTGTAGCGAGTTATACTTATGAGAAGAGAAGCGACTTCCATTGAAAGTAAGATTGTCCGAGAATGGTTCTCATTGTAAGATTCGAGAGACACTTTTACGTGGACACGTTGCATTGCATTATATTATCTCCGAAAACTAGATCAAAGAAGAAAGGCTCATTTCTGATAGAACTGAACTTTAATAGCTCCATTCAAGTTGTAGACTATTAATATTAATACAACGAATTTAACTAATTACAAAAATTAATCACCAAAAAAACTGACTTAACTGCATAGTTCCGTTTAACACGACAATGTTTCACATACAATGACGTTTAATTTCTTCCATACAAGGTTATATAGGCAATATATTATGTAACTCCAACATTTATGGCGTATCGTCTACGAATAAAAACACCATAAACACTTCAGATAAAGTCGTGGACGATTTAAATATTATAGTACAAATTTCTCTACTGAAATTCGAATTGAAATTTCACGCGGAAACGAATAAATTTTTAACAATAATGTCGCGTGAAAAATGGAAAATGAGTTAAACGGCGCGATAGCTGAAAATACATATATGAAGGATGAAATATGCGACATACAAATGCGAATACGTAAACCACAGGCTTTCGAACTGGTATACAGCCAAAAGGTAAACTAGGGCGTAAAGTCTACGCGAATTATATCTCCTTATATCTCTGCTTTTTATAGTCAAAGCTGTTATTCTGTATGCAAATGAGGGCAGACGGTGTCCTTAGACGCGCGAGAGGCTCCGGGGCTGAAATTTTATCCGTTGATCGCGAGATGCGCATAGTAAATTACACTCGTAGCTAATCTACATTTTCATTGAATGCTGGATCACGGGTCAGGAAATTCCCAATTACCGCGATCCCTCCACATGCATAACTTTGTGTTTCTTGGTGATCGATAGATCAATTGTCAGATTTATTACACTGAAACTAGTAAATTGTTGTCTGTTTTAATTGTTACCTTCATCTCCAATTTTATGTGCCCCAACGTAAATAGTCAATATGGCTGTCTGTATGATCTATCATTTATATCAGTGGTTCTCAACCTATTTACATGTGTATCACTTAAGAACCAATATTAGCAAAATGTTATTAAATATAATTTTCGTTATTTCAAATTATATATGTGAATACATGTGAAATTATGTATGTAATTGTAAGTACAAGACTCAGTAATAGGGCTAAAAGGAATACAGTGATAAGATAAGTCACTACTTAATTAACCAGTTAACTGTGTTTGACGAGTATACACGTCATCTTAAAACTCTTAATGGTGCTAACTTTTCCAACGATGGATTATTTATTTTTTGAGACAAACATGTAATTCTTCTTCGTTTTGCTTTAGTTTTTCGTTAGTATATATTTTAAGTGCATTTGGCCTGCATTTAACGAGTATACACTTGATTATTTGATTTTATTGCGCGCACAATGAGAGATTTTTCAAACGAAGTTCCACACTTAACTGGTTAATATAAAAATTATATTCTACCGATTAACATCTGAAATTTGTCACAGTCAATTTATTCTTAATACTTGGGAATTGTAATGAATTCTCAAATTTATAAAATACACAACAAATGTTCCGTAAAAGTTTTGTTTTAAAGTAAGTAGTTTTTTAAATCAAGTACAACTCATGTGAAATACAATGTGAAACCTGAAACTGCGTTCTGTTTATTACGATGTTTACCTTTTTTAAGGTATAAGAAGAGAAAGCCTTCTCCATTACCTCCGTATTTGTAAATGGGAACAGAAACTTAAACGACTTGTCAGAAAGTTGTTTGTCCTCCGTTCCATCTTTCCCGCAAATGTATGGTTTTCCTCTATTATGTAATCTTTTTCGCGTGCCTCCAATGTTCGGTGTGACCCTTACTTTGAGAACCACTGATATATACACATAATAACTGCAGTACGATGTATTGCTTACTCAACCTACAAATCAACGCAAATCGGCGTGGATAGTAACTTATTAACTGTTATTCGTTCATGATAGTCGTAATTTCTACTATTAATATTACAAATGTTACGATCAATTTATATCAGTATGTATTTAAAAGTTAACGAAAATATTTTTTTGTTATTTAGGTGCAACCCGGCCAAAGCAAAACAATCGCTTACAAACAAGTGTCGTACCAATACAACAAAAGCCTCGACGGAAAACCAATCGGTAAGTGTTTTGTTTTATTACACTTAATTTAAATTACAGTTATTTTGCAAGATACTCGTAATACAATACAGTAATACAAACAATAAAATACAAATTCCATACAATTCTCGATGTTAGCTTGAAAATCTTTTATAAAACACTTATTATAAGTTAATATACATTTGGTTCATAACAGTAATTAATAATAACTGTACTTAATCGCATTGTTTGTATGACTTTCTCAAAAATTGATCTTGCAGGATATTTCTGAAAATTAATTAGATTATTAGATTTCAATGTACATGTGTATAAATATCGCGTAAACTGTTTTACGTTTTATACTTATAGAATTTATTGGTTTAATTAAAAAAGATATTTAAGAAAAAAGATTTACAGTTTAAAAAGTATTATATTCGAAAGAGCAATATATTTTGTATAAATGCTACGATGTATGTATATTTAACAATTGCGTAGATTTTTTGGATAGAAATTTCCAACATAAATCTGTTTATCCCTTATAACATATATTTAATTACTGTGATGATTAGGTAATTTTACAAGAAGTATGATTGCTACAATGCTACAAAGTGGCACGGTCTTATCTCGGCTTACAGTTTTAATTCTTAGATTTTAAAACAATTGTACCTACGATTTAACACGGTAGATATACTTCTGTAAACTCTGAAGCGTGTTCACGATGATTCGCGCGCAAGCGCTGGTGCGTTTTGAGCGATCGTGGAAGGAAGGAGAGCTGGTCACTCGTGTCGCTCCTTTTAAGGCGCGGAGCGACTGTACAGGTATACTGTCAACTAACAATGAGAACGGCAAAACGAGGGAGGTTCAATACTACGAGATCCTCACAAAACCTCACTCGCAACTAATCAAACACTGTTAATGAAATAGTAACGTCACTGATCAACGACTTATTCAGGTCACATACTGGAGCGAATCTGTTGAAACATCAATGTTTCTCGCTGTCTAAAAGACATAGACTTGAATTTCTAAATCTTTCAAGGATATAAAACTTATATAGATAATTATAAACGGATTAAATGCAATACTAATCATAATGAATAATGAAATGCTTATTTTGCGTCTGATTGAATAAAATGTCCAACACACATAAAAGAACAAAATTTTAATATTTCTCTAAAAGACATTTTCATTTATGATATATTCATGTAATATATTAAATTCTAATCTATTATCGCAGATTATGCTATCTATACGTGTATGATGTAATGGAACTAAAAAAAGGTAATAGGTCGACTGTAGACGAAATATTTCAAGCGCATTTCAATTGGAAATTGAATAATGTTAAAATGCCATCTGCAATTATCACTCTACTCAATGTAGAACAAACTTAATCGCTTATCTTTACTGACAAATTTCAATTTCAATAAATGAATCTCTGTAAATATGGTAATCAGAAGTAACGCGGTAACGCTATTGTGTAGAGAAAACTTTCAATCCGGCCATTTCTCTACATGGTAGTGATGCAGGGACGGTCACGTATGTCTGTGTTGTTTGTGGTAACATGCGCCATACAACCACATCCATATTAGGACTGTATATAACAGAAGATTGACCCGATTTCTCGTTCCCTCTGCTGTATTTTCAATAAGAAAATAAGGAAGACGAAAAATGTGAATGGCAATGGGAAGCAAAGAGAGAAGACGTGACATTAAGAGACTCAAGGATAACTATTGTGGCTGGATGACCAAATGAAGGCTGTTCATCGAAAACCTGAATTTCGAGGGCAGATATACTTTAAACATAAACAAATGTAGACCTCTGGTCTTGTACATATTAATATGACTTCCAATTGATTATTCATCAATATTAATAAATGCTGGTTAACTAATTGATTAATTCGTAAAATTCATTTTCTTTTACAGATTCCTGGACCACCCCCGACAATGCCTTGACTAATAGCAGCACGGCCTTGATGTAAGTGCACTCTACAATATCACGTGTCTAGTTCATTGCCAAGAAAGCTATACTTCTTCGAATACGTATGCATTACATAAAATTGAACAATGAAAGATGCAAATATAAATCGTGAAAACACGTAAGCAGTAATCTTCAAGTAAATGAATGGAAAATAATATTTTCTTTCGACTTATATGAGTTAAATAATATTCATGTTTATTGAATCATATCAAAGGTACAAACTCAAGATCAATGCAAATGAATGGACACTGTAATTTTAATTCGCTTTGATACCGCATCTTTTATTAGGAAAAAAGAACAGTTTTGCTACAAATTCATATCATCTTTTATAGTGATGATATTCGAGAAAGGACTTACGAGGAGAGTACACTACGTGATGCAGAACCCGTTGGTAGAACAGTCAACAGAGAACTAGTGAGTACTCCGTTTTTATCGAAATATTCTATTCTACTGTAATCCCTCTGAAATGATAATCATTGACATTATATTTACATTTCAGGTATACAGCGACAGGTCTACATCTCGGTCGAAACAAACATCACCCTTGCCAGGTACTCAGAAAGAAGTGAAATATGTCCACGAATCTTCGAGTAAGTGTTTTTAACAATTGAACAACCACTAAGACGTATTCCTACATGCGACCAATCAATGATTACTCGCACAATTTTTACAGACTACCAAACGGAACCAACGGAGTACGTACCAGTTCCGTCACCGACGCCAGCGATCCCTATCAATTTGGCACCGGGTCCTAACACGAAAGTCACAACTACCATTAAAACGTACACGTATGAACTACCAGGAGCACCGGAATCGTACCTACCAGGTGGCTCAGTGCCAGGAACCGTTGTGCTTCCGGGTGACCAGACTATCACGTACACGCTACCAAAAGGTAGCAGCTCCACGACCGATAAAACAGTCACCTACCAAACTATAACCGAAAATGTTCCATCCAGAACACCGGTTAGATATGGCAGTCCGACACCGGTGACGGATATCTCGAAAAAGTCAACGACCTTACACCATGAAGCTAAATTCTACCGCGAGGAGCATCTCGGAGGCCAGCCCGGGCAACCACCAACGGTCGTCTATCATCCTGGCTCTCCAGGTCAAGAAAGTAAAACAACAGTAACAAGGAATGAAAAATACTACACGGTTGACAGCAATTACCCTAATGGTTATACTCCTACCGATCGAGTAGATCACACGGGTAGCACTGTTATTTATCAAAATCAACCGCCCACAATAAACGAGACCCACACCACCACGATCAATCGGATCGAGGAACACTATCCTAGCAGGTCGCCCTCCAGCGGACGATACCCGACACCTGATAAACCGGGAACACCGGTTAATTATTACACCTCACCGCCACAGACCAGCCCACCGCAGTCTACCACGACGATATATAAATTCTCGAACACGACCACCACCGTACCGCCGAACAAGAATGCTGAGGACCACGAGGTTTTGTTACCAAAGCCATTTCCAACCGATGCGGTTCAGATTTGCCCTTCTAAACCCACCACCGGCGAACAACGCCCGCCCAAAAAATTGGAAGACCTTATGGCTTCGTTCTCAGACTCCGAGGTGAGTCAAATGTTCTTCTCAAATATTCTTTTGAAAACATTTTACACATGCCATTGAATATACACCTGACCCTCGATTTATGCGAAAATCCGTTTCACGTGGGTTCAAGAGAAATCAAAATATTGAAGAGAAAAGCTGCTATAAATTTTAGAAATACATATTCATTTCACATAACTTAACAAAAGAAATAATAATAATGACATTTTAGGAAACGAAAGTATATTTTATTCACTGTTACTAAATTATTATTCACTGTTCTAATTTATCGCGTGAAAAAAGTCCGCGTAAATCGAGGGTCAGGTGCATACCTTTTTCTCTTGAAAAATATATCAAGTTAAGAATTACTTGTGAAATATTTATAGTGAGAAATAATATTGTATGATAATACTAATTATAGTGTTACACAAGGTGTTCTACAATGAGTGTCAGACTTTTGGAGAATCAATTCTGTAAACTAAAATAATGGAATCTTTCATATATATAACTTGACTTTTTGATTACATTTAATTTTTATAAGAAAATATTTCAATATCGCGTGACATGTAAGGAAACAGCGTGTGATATTGTCTAAAAATTTGTTTTCTTTGATATTTACACGTTTGATTATAATGTTTTAACTGAAGGCTATGTTGAAGATTTCAACGAAGAAAAAGTTAAACTTTGTCGAAAACGCGTGTTATGTGCGCAGAATGAAGTTCTTTCATCGTTTTAATGTACAGAATTGATAATGAAAAAATTCGTAAGATTAAATAGTAAGAAATATAATTCATTTTATGATATTTTAGCGTGAAGTGTTAGAAAACATCGAGAAAAGAGAACGGGAGCAACAAAAAGAATTACCTGTCGCTAAAAAGGAAGTCGATTTTATACCCCATACACCACCTAAAGTGAAGAGTAAAAACGTTGCTGGTCCTCCGGTTTATTATCCTCCTGGATCAGCAGAATTTACAAAGAAAGAAGAATCGAGCATGGCAATGTCACAATCTGGTGTAAGTAAATTATATTTCACCAATTTGTATATAACTTTCAAACGAATTCAATATAGTAGTAGAAATGTTTAAAATTTGTCAATTAAATACGTGATACATTTGCTTAAACGTAGAAAAAATTGTTTGTTTACAGGGAGCCTGGCAAAAAGCCAGCGCACAATACGAATACGAAGCGTCAAGTAAAAGCAAAACGAAAACCAAAAGTGGAGGCGCTGTGGTCCCCGTGTGTCTTCCCCTTTGTTGTGCCATGCCGTGTGTAATTATGTAACTTATTAATATAATGATACATGTTAGGATTCGAAAATGTGCCTGAGCTTAGTAATCTTCCGTTCTATCGAGAAATTTAAATTATAATTAAAGAGAATGAAAAAGAGGAAGTTGTATACGGAAATGATATTGCCACGAGAACAAATTTCTAATAAAATTCGTCATATAAACTTTATGATATATAAAGCAGCTTCTATTAGTGTTTTTCTAATTGTAACTGGTTTCATTTTGCGTAATTTTTAAAAATAAGTGCTACAATTGCAAAAATATGCAGTTATCAGTTATATTTTGTATTGCTTTAACCAATAATGTAAAGTATGAATTTTTATTATCTCTTAATTTTACTATATACACAGTAGATTAAAGGAAAACTTATTTATTTTCTTCTTTGCAACCATACAAACATTTTTAATATGTTTATTACCATGTTTATTTGCTTTATGTTTGAGTCAAATAGTAGAAAGTTTGCGATAAATTTACCATTTCTTTTCATATATTTAAAAAAGTATATATGGCCATACATGACAATTGTATAACAAATAATTTATTAATATATATAATTTTGTATTATAACACTGTTAAAAAATATTCTATTTAGACTACTATCATGCAAACGAAATTATTATGTTATTTTTAATCATGAGTTTTTATACTACATTTATGTATTAGATAGCAACAAACATTCATATTTGATTCATATTTCAGTTTTAATACGCTACATATAAAGTCAATAAATTATAATATAGTAATTTTAATGCATCATGTGGTAGTTTAAGATAATCTTAATATAAATGAATTTAGGAAAATGCCATAGTAATAATATTAAGATTCCTGTGTGGCTTAAAAATATGCCTTCCAATATTTCTATACCTATGAAGTAATACTGTGAATTATGGTGCTATAATAATTGTAATGAATGAAAGACATCAGGAAAAATAATGTTCTTTCGTTGCAAACATAAGTGTACATATGAATATTATGTTTAGATATGTGTCAAAAATTGTGCCATGTTGAAACACACATAAACAAACAGTAATAATAGCTTCTACTTTAATAAAGCAATTTCCTCCTCCCAGATGTATGATTATATGTTTATTTTTCCTTCCTTAAATTTTTATTAATAAACTGTCACACTAAATTGGGGGAAACATCATCTTTTTAATAAAAATATACAGCATACACTGTGGCAACACAGAATATTGTATCCTGAAAAAGATTTTATGAACACATTGTAAATTATATGAAAAGTTTAACTCAATTCAATTTACGTATTCTAAGAAGCTTTATGATTAATTATTTTTTAAGCATGAAAACTAATTATTAAAGTGATTTTTCTATAACAATTTTTGCAATTTCATTTTTATATTCTTTCAGATAGGAATAAACCACCTCAGTAAATTAAAATATTTAAAATGGCTAAAATTTTTCTTACATTTACAAAACTATCATACGCATATGCGTCAGCCTCTGCATCCCAGATACATCGTGTACCCATTTTTACCCCAGCACCATGCTGTTCACCCAAAACTACATTTACAAGATATTTGTACCGTCTGAAGTTCAATTCTAGAAGTACACAAAAATTATTTGTGTAATTCACTATTAATTTGGTGCACAGATTACGAAAAGTAAATTTCACCTTTAACTTTTTCTCTAATTATATCAGCTATATCTTTAGTCCATTGGACAGCTTCCTGAGCATCGTATACTTTTGTAGAGAGCTGATCGAATAATACAGTATGTATAACTTCTTTTGCTCTTAATGGTTTAAACCTGTGTAAAATGTTTTTACGCTGGATATTATGTTGTTTTGAAGGATACAGAAAGAATACAGAATGTTAAAATGTTTAATTTGTGTTTTAATTATTTTTGTAAGGTGCTTATAAATCAAGTGATATATAATTTTTATGCAAAAATGTGGAGGGAATGTAACATTATCTGCAAAAATTTATTTGTGAAAAAAATGAAGAAAAAGAACTGATTTTAATAGAAATTAGATAATTGTATGGTTGCCCTAATAGATATTGTAAAGACTAGAACATAAAAATAAATTGAAATTTGGATAAATTAAAATACTTCTCGTGTAGTTGTGGGCGTATTTGATAAACAGGTTGCTGAGAAGCCTCAGTTTCTGCATCTTCGAGAACCTCCAAATTCACTTGTGCTTTTTCTTTCTCTTCTATTTTTTCTATCAATGTTTCAGGTTCATTGCTTTCTTGAATTAAATTCTTACTTTCTACCTTTTCAGTTTTTTCAGAACGTTCAACTTTATCCTCCTCCATTTACTTTAATTTTATAGGCACTTACGCACCTTTCTTAATTGAAATTGGTTACACTACCTGTCACGTTGCATTCTATACATAAAATAAATCTGTGGATTATCCGACAATGAATAGGAATAGTATAGATGTCCTAGTATAGATGTCAATTAATAACTGACTACGCAGACGTCTGATAGGGAGCGGGAAAATTTCAATTTAATTCTGCTTAGTATGTCCACCACCATAGACGAAGTATAAGATAGACATTGCAAGCTTTTAAAAGTTAGTGTCACATGTTCTGAATTACCGACTGCGTAAAAAATCAGAAGTTTTTTTAAATCTCAAATATATTTTTATATACCTAATTTTGATTAGAAATGTAATTTTACTATACATACATTTATTTATATATAAACCAAATTAACAATAATTTTATATATATAATAACTGTTGCTACAATTGTCAACTATTACTTTCATTAATAATTATGTAATAATATTGTTTGGTTCCATAATGAATTTTTGATATCAGCAGAACTATACTCATCGTCACTTAAAGTTTCAATATTTTTGATTCTGATTCCTATCACTCATAGCGCTGCCATGCAAAATCAGACTAAGTCGACATGACAGAGCGTGATATGAAAATGGTAAGAATGTGTATATAACAAAATTTTACATTACTTGTTATGTCTATTCTATACCTCTGTGATATGTCACTTACTATATAATTCTTAAATTATTGGGAAGTAAAATGTTCAATAATTGTTTATAGGTTTATTTCACACTGTATGTATTACAATTGGTACTATAATCAAGAATGATTTTTACCTCGTAGAAGTTTAAACAACTCTTATATAATATAACTCATCTTGCAGATTATAAACATTAGATGATTTATAAAAACGCCTCTCCATAGAAGCCTATATCTTAACAAATATTTAAAATATAGTAGAACACTATACTTCAATATTCAAAACCATACGTTTTGAGAGTGACAAGAATCCTTACAGCGTCGTTCGGCTGTGAATCTTTTCAGTGAATATTTCGAACGCACACAATGCATATTTAATGATAATTTCAATCATAAACTTTGTTGCGATCTCTTTCACAGCTGAATCGTGTAATGTCAAGCTCAGTCTCGGCGAGCAACGACATTTAATGAAATGCGCAACAATAGTTGACTTCGAGTGAGCTCGGTATTTTCTTTAAAATCAATTTTCTTTCATTCGCCTTTAAACGTTAACAAGGTTTACAGTAACACACTACAAAATTTTCATCGTCAATTATGCAATATTGTTGGTTTTTGTACGTGGTAAAGTCTTTTTCACGCATCTGATTGGAATGATCGTAAATTTTCTTGATCACTGGTGGAAAGCTTGGAATGTTTATACTCGCAGCGAGTTCATCATAATATGCCCATTGTCTTTCATTTAATTTTGTGATATGTCGTAGCTAGAAAAGTAACAAATTCTTTCTGTTAATGTTAATGTGTATACAAGAAGAATTTTATAATCAATTTAACAGAATTATCGAACTTAAAATTCTTATTACTGTATGTAATTTGATTAACGTGAAAATTCAATTACCTTTGATAAACTAATAACTTTATACAAAATTTAATGCAATTATATTTTATAATAAATAAGAAATGCTAGTAAGAACTGTTTATTATTTCTTGTAATGCATTTTTATAAGATCGAAAATGAAACAAATTTGTAATCTTCCAACTACAATAACTATGACACGAAATAAGTATTTCTATTCACTTCTTTTTTACCTTATAGTACATATTAATATTTCTATATATTTTTGTATGTTTTTAAATAGGCTTTATCATTTAGATTAAAGTAAAAATGTACAAATTTTATTGACAACAATAGAATAGATTCTACACATCTATTTGATTAACACGACATTTAACTATCAACGATCAAATATTAATCACAAAAAACTCTTATACGTACAGGTATACCCTGATTAAGCAAAGCTGTCTTCTCAGCTTCGTATTCTTCACGCATTTGCTTAGGGGACGGCAATTGCACGCGACCTTCTAGAATACCGAGGATGTATTGAGCCTGTAAATGGTACGTCGGGAAGGGTATTACAAGCCCCGCTAATCCCATCACAAATAGATTCGGATAATCCATGTGCACTAAATGTTTGTAAATTGGTTCTACATGATTGTCGTCCGTACGCATCTCAACTTTAGATGACATAAAGGGATACGTAAATTTATATCCTGTAAACAAGAAATTTTAATGTCAGTAGAAAAAGTCAAGGACAGGGGTCAGGGCTCATACCGAAGATTCTAACAATCTATAATTTATTGGTGTCTTAACATCAACATTTAAAAATTAAATGAACAAACGAAGCTAAGACAGTAGTAAGCTCAGGAATTGACGTAAGAATGAGAAAAGCCGTAAGTACATACGAGAGGAAAATTGGATTCGTTGTTTGCTTCAGGCCTAGAATCTAAAGATAATTCGAGGGAGGCCTGTCAACGCTTCCTTGTGAATGTATTATTGATTTATTGAACCCTCGTCGTTTATACGTACGAAGATCAAGGTCTTTTACCTGTACAATATATGAAGTTATCTACTTCAGCCGAGGAACCGTCACGGAAGATAAATTTCTTTCCTTGAATAGATTGGATTCCTGGTCGCTGTTCCACGTTTTTACACATTTTCGAATCCACCGGTTCTGATAAATTGTGACTCAGATATATCTACAACCAAATAAATAGCCAATGATGTTTTAGAAGAAGTAAAAAGAGTTTAATACATCTTCACTGCCACTCAAAACTATTCAATCGTCTAAAAGAATAATATTGATCACTATTTCATGTCTTTTATGAGTTTAAGAAGTTTTTTTTATTGCGTTATTTTTCTGTCCTTTATTTAAATTAACAATACCTCATGTTTCATTGATATTTTTGTACAATTTATACAGCTCGATCAACTGTACGAAATATGAAATGTTCTCATTTGAAATTGTTTTATAACGTTGTAAAAACCATAATAGTTCATCACATCAGCAGATAATTAGTTATCCATTCTGAAATCGGCGTTACGAAGAGAAGCCATTTCGACAATCTGAAGCGGTAATTTTACATGATTATAAAACAAAAATCACTTTTGTTAGCCTGTAATTATTTAAATAAAATTCAAGAAATGTATATCTTTTATTGTACACGAACAAAAATATGCAAGATCTATTCGCATTCGTTTTGTGTTATATTCTTGTTTAATCATTTTCTTTCTTTATTGTTCGTTATATGTGTTGAATCTTTGGTGTATTAAAAAACTATTGAAAGTATAATGATTTGAACAGCACAAAATTCTATTGATACCTTGCTGGCGTATTGCGAGACCTCAATTGCGATGTCGATGCCGGACCAAGACGCACCGAGGATGCAAACTTTCTTTCCAGCGTACATATCTGGAATTCTGTACTGGTGACTGTGTATTTTTCCTCCGGGAAAAGTTTCGATGCCCGGAATATGCGGAATGTGACCCACAGTGTAATGACCATTGCAGACAACCACGGCGTCAAACGTTTTGGTAGCCTCCACTTTAGTTTCCAAGTCTTTATAAGTAACCAGCCATATTGTTTGCCCGTTTCGCAATGTTTCCGGTTTTACATGTTTCACAACAGTATTTAACTGAAAAAGTCAACTATTAGATAGTACATAAAATATATTCGCTATAAAACTGAGCTTGAAGATGCGAAACCTAGAAAAAGAAAAGAAAAGAAAATAAAATCAAATCAAGCTGTACCTTTATATAGGGATGCAAATTAAAATGTTTTGCATAATCGCACAGGTACTTTCGAATCACAGAATGATGAACAAACGACGATCCTTCTTGCTGCTTCATTGGAAAGTCAGGTATTTGCATAATTTCCCGGGGAAGATTCGTTCTGTAAAGTAATGAGTAGATATAATAACAGATGTTTTTAAATTGCTAATTAGAATAATAGTGTTATCCTTAAAGCTACTCGATTTTCATATTATATATAAGCGAACATCAACGATGAAATATTGTTTTAACGTTTTTGTTGGATACAATAGAGTTATTATCAATAAATATTTGACAAATGAGAATACAAAACTTTTAACGCGAGAATGTTTATACGTTTATACGTTATCATAAATTTCTATGACAACTTTGCAGTAGGAAGAAACTTCGTTATCGGTATTCAAGCGAATTTTTCAGCTAACAATCTCACGAGTCATGAGACTATGAATATGTGTATAGTAATGAAGAAGTTGCCAGAACAAGTTTCGAAAATAAGGAGAACTAAGGTGTAATGAAGAAAGTACATTTCAAAAGATTCTAAATTTGCTATGTATTCTTCCAATGCAAATTTATGGAGATAACAGCAGATTTGAGTGTATTAAAACAACAGAAGAATTTGAAAACTAGCTGAATTGCCAAACATAATGATATTTCACTTACGTTAAGAAAAAAACTAAGTTCTTATTTTAAGTATCGTTGACATAATCAAATGTGAAAACTACTCTATACTGATTATTTTAAATTATAAATTGCTACAACGTGTTAATATTTTCCCGTGTTACATTTTCCTTTCCTCAATTTTTATCTTCATAAAGCAAATATTGTTTTTGGTGGAAAATATCTTACTCAATTACTTGAAACTATAAATCGAAATCAAATATTTCTGTTGTATTAGGTATAGATAATATTTATATCATATACTTTAAACCGTTTGTGTATTGTGTTTAATATTTTTTTACGTAATTTAAGGTTAAGTTAATGATAAAAAATTCATTATATTTCATTTATATTTAATTCTATGTATTTTTATGTTACATCATTTTAAGTAACTACATAGTTGAAAGCTCCTTCTTCAGATTCTTTTCTCCCAAAGAATTTTGTGAATTTCTATGTAGATATGTAACTTATTTTCTTAAGAGACTGGTAAAGATTTTTCGTGTATTGATAAAACATAATAAATTTTATCTAAAGAATATTTGTTCATCTTTAACTTAAAAGAAACAGTTTCTTATGTTACTTTGCATGTATAACTTTAAGGCAGGATCATTTTCTAATTGTAAACATTGAACTTCTTTATAGTTTGATATTAAAATGACTACCGGAACGCTTCTCTTGTCATTATGTCAAACAGTGTATCGCGTGTCAGCTAAGTTTATCGCGACAGACTAAACTGATTAGAATACAGCTGTATTATCATACAAATGACGTGAAAACTAAAACGTTTCATGGGCTATTGTTTTCATCTTTGTTAATAGCAAGAATTGTGAAAGGTGTTTATGCGTCCGCGGATACGAAACGATGAAAATATTTTGCTACAGCTATTATTACACAATAAATAGCTTTATTACAGAAATGGAAATACTTTGTGGGATATATCAATGATATTATTTGTATCAAATTTATTTAAATGTGTTTTCACGCTTTAGAATAACTTCGGTCACAATATTGTAAGACTTTTTATTCCGAAGTTACAGGAGTTTAAAAATCAACAATTTTTAGATTACAACGTAGTGATTCCTTAATTTTCTGGAGCAAGGTATATTCATTATGTTTAAAATATAAAAGTGGGCTCTGTTTGAATGAATAAGGTCCAATTATGGGAGACGGAGTTTCGCGTAATGTTATGCATCTCGCATCTCTGGTCTTAGTCAAATATGATTTCGTTATTCATTATTCAATAAACTAATTTTGTATCTTTCATTTTGTACTGTACCTATTCGGAACAGTTAATTTCATTGTTTCTATTTACTCCATATTGTTTCCAGACATTTTTACGATGTAATTAAAGCACTATATAATAGTTACAATTTCCATTAAAATTACTAAATCATCCAACTTAGTTAGAAATTGAACTATACGAAATATAACGAATAAAAAGTGGAGAAGAAACATTTGAAATGCAATAAAAGAGTTTATTTATATTTCTTAAATTTAAAATTTGTTTATACAGCGCTAAATCTACATAAAAAAGAAAATTCTAATAATATACACGATAACACTTTTCTGATATAATATGCAAATTTTGTTTATCTATTCTTATCAGTGGCTGTCACATCGCCTGTAACATTGTTTACGTCCACATGCGTCTAATTAATACACTGTTGCAAATCATATTTTCATGAATGATCATTCATAATATTACGATCTTTACTTAGTTTTTATTCGGGAATAAAAAGCTATTGCATCAAAATCGAACAAATATATAATAGGCAAATTCAAAAAACAGAAAAACGTTACGAATAAAAAGGTAGCATGTACTCTTTCTATTTGAAATTTACATATGTGTATAATAATCGTATACCTGTCGTAGATAGTATCTCTTCATGAGTACATATTAATATACATACATAAATGTCAAGGAGACAATAGATTACCACGTTAAGCGCCACGAAAATTTTCACCATTCTTCCGTGGAGTTATTCTTTTGTAGCAAAGAAAAGCAAGAACAATTATTCCTTATTTGGCGTTAGAATCTTTGCATTACATTATTATCAACTTAGTTATGTGTTGGTTACCTCGCATATTACGATTGTTTTCAAATAATTCAGAAGCGTCGGTCACCGGTGACTGGCATGGCACTTAACGTGTTAAATGTCGCGAAACGAATTACGTTCAAAGGATATAACAAGTAAAAAATAATTAAAACGTCTATACTCTATTAGAAACCTAAGGTCTAAGGTTTAGACACCTTTAAAGTAAACGAGTATTCTTTGCTTAATACATATTTACATAGACATATGACTATTGACCGCTTTCGCGACCTACCTCACGCACTTCTGTGTTGGTTTGATTGCCGTAAATTAGGCGAATTTGTAATTGCTACAAATTAAATAATGAAACTATTGCAATTACTTTGAAATGATTTTCCCGTTTTGTTGTAATGGAAAGTTATTTTCTGAATTTGCCATCATTCGACATTAGTAAATGTCGTATATAATTATTAGTTATAATAAGATATTACAATTATTATTTCGAAATTATCATTAAAAATTCTGATATTCATTCTTAGTACACAGGTGTAAGATAGTCGTTTACACATTTTTTCTTCATTATAAATTAATACAAGGTTTAATTATAACTTGAATAATTGGAACTTAGGTACCCTACTTGTTTTCTGCTCTTTTTGAAATGTTTACTCATGTGACCATTTCAGACGAAGTTTTCTGGTCCTACTAATTAATTTCATGTATACATATAATGAAATACTGACCTCAAGTTTTTGTACATGCTACTATGAATCGGTAATCCATGTTTATCGATGTCAATTTCGTCGGTGTAGACCCAAGTTCCGCCTATTTGATCGGTTTGCTCGAATACAGTGAGGCTGTAAGTGTCCAACTTAGTGGCTGCATGACGGGCTACCAACAATCCTGCTGCACCACCACCGATTATGGCGATTCTTGTCTTGGTACTTGGCATATTGATTATGGGAAACTCCTCGGAATCTGTTAAAGCGAAAGTTGATGTAGTTCTTTACTGCATGTACATATATATGTATACACAGCATATATTTGTTATTGCAGCTATATCTATACACAGAATAATATTTTTTCTTTTGAAACCTTGTCTCCTACAAAATCCGGTATTCGAGGATTTATAAACGATCAAATTTTATTCGAAATTTTGTATTTGTTCATTACGATTACTGGTCAGAAACTGGTTAGTATTAATGTGGTAAATAACTACGAAATAATTAGTTATTATTAAGTTATCAGAGTTTTCTTACACGTAAAATTGTTATTCAATATTTTCGACTGATTTTTCAATGTAGAATCATAGTCTTTAATGCGGAATTAGAGATAGTGAGCATAAAGTAATTAAATATAACACTTAACATGTATCGATTACTAATGAAATCTAAATACCATAATTGTCTACCATTTACACGATATAATTATAATCTTTTGTTTATTCTCTCATTTCCTTCGTACAGTCGTACATCTCATTTAATACTATAAAAAGCAAGTTGTGTTAGAAAATTATTTTATGTTATTCAGAATATATTACCTAAAGGATTGCAACAATTGTGTTGTGTATGATATTTAGAAAAATAGTTACTTTCATCATTTGATACTGGACTGTAATATCTTTCACAGAAACCAGAAAACAACAAACAGAACTTTCTTTCTTCATTACAAACTTTGCAGATATTTCTAGTGAAAAATTGGAAAAAATTGGAAAGACATTATAAACAATAAAGAATTTTACGTACATCAAGTAGAATTTTACAACGGTCAGTTGAACTTTCGTTCTCTACGGAAGGTGGTACAGGTACGATACAGTTAAATAGAAATAAATGAAACAAACTAGTCGAATATCTAATTAAGTACTGTATCCTTAATACACTCTGCAACTTTCTCCTCAGCTTCTTGGTCGAAACAGGCTAGAGAAAGTAGATAATAATATAATAAAGACGATTATCGTCGTAAATAACTTAAGTCACTGTGCACGATGCGCGCAAAGGAAATTAATCCTGAAGTAGCTCAGTCGGAAGTTCGATTAAGACTGTCCACCCGAAAGCAAACTGCTTGTTGCAATGTCTCTGGCCACCTTCCCCTCCGATCAGAGGCTTACGTAAACGCGGGAAATGTTTCTTTCTATGACCGCAGCCGCTACGATTAAAGATGTACAAAAAAGCAACTCAGAAAACATATTTCTTCTTACACTGACGTCGAGGTTCGGATAAAATTTCTCGTGTTTCTCTCCAAATCAGTGTAATATATCTTCTTTTCCTTAATTACTGTTTGACATATTTGTTAGGGGCATTATGTTGTTTTGTTTCTTCTGTGTTCGTTCACGTTACATTTAAAAGTAACACAACTCGTTACTTACTGAAATTTTTGTATACTTTCTTCGCTATTTACTCATATTTTATCCTTTAATTAAAATAAATAGATAAATAAACAAATGAAATACATTGCAAAGTATTTTATCGAAAATAAACAATATTTGATTATGCTTTATTTCAATTCTGTTGCAAATTTAAAGCAAATTAATGTACAGATTATCTATAAATTGGTAAAAACTTGAATGTTTAATGAAAATTCGGTTGTATTCATAATTTTACTTCTTAACGCAATACTTGCGAGTCAAAAGATAAAAGTATTTTCTTTGTAATAAATTTCCTATTTTTCTGTTAATGAGAAATTGAATTTGATTCGTTAATCAGATTTACTACTAGATTCAGGAAGTTTATGTAAGTTTCTATTTGCATATTATTGTTTTACTAATATTAATTAGTGAATTTAATCGATGAAAATGTTTGGAAATTTTTGTTAGAATGTTTACTTTATTATTATAGAACTATTAACGTGTCATTTTTGTTCATTGTCGTGTATTGGTGTCTACTCGTTTCCTTACATTCATGAACTACGCATAAAAGATTATAATATGTTGTCAGTGTTTTTTTCTCGTAAATCCAGCAAAGTGAGTACAGAATTAACAATACTTGAAGACTAATTAATTCGTTATCTTCTGTAATTCATTATAAGTTCAAGGTTTTCCGATTATTTACGGTTGTAGAATAAACAATGGAATTCTAGCAAATTATTGTAGTGAGAGAGCATGTGCTCGTTTCACAAATTAAACCAGACAAATTGCAGCAATCACCTTCTATAAGGACCTGGTTCACATTTGATGCATCGCTGTCCGTTATGTTAATGCATTTTCAAGTCAAAACATTACACGAAAATATGAGATCGATCGTTCAAAACTGTTTCTACATGTTAGTATGAAAAATATTCAAATCCTATAATTGGAAAATAACTGTCAATAAAATTAAGCAAATAATTGTCTGTATTTTCAAAGTGTTATTTATTTCAGTGATATGTAGCTATTCTTCAACAGTAATACTCTTTTTTTCTGCAGTTTTTTTTCATTGGAACTGCATTTAGCGTAAAGAATAATTAGTGCCTTTTTAAAACTTTCGAACTATGAAAGATATTGCATAATAAGTTGAAGGTTTTCCTAGTCTCAATTAATTTGTTCATTTAGAATTATTATATTCATACATAATAAGAAATATTAGTGTCATATTAAGTTGAAAAATCAAGATTTCAATATAATGTCGGATTACTTAGGATATCTATCCGAAATCATTTTCTCCATCATTTTTTATTTGGAACGCTAACGACTTTGCCATTACTGGTTAGCTAGTCACGTTTCACCGGTTCGAATTTCTTTCTGATGAAATTGCATCAAGCATAAAGTCAGTGTCGCCTCCCTGCGTTACAGATACGCAGGTCACGTGGTGTACGAATGCACGTGCTGATGGACCAGAAATACACACGCCATTGCATCGCGCGGGCGTGCATATGTATTATAAAATCGACTCGATGATTCAAGACCCAGTAGAATTTCGCACGAATCTCAATAGATAATAAATTGCATGTTAATTATATCTCTGTTTGTTTATTTTGTTGCTAATCAAAGTTTGCAGAATAACATCTTCCTTCATGAAATGGATACTCAAAATTCGGTGTTCAACCACTACAATCATCTTGAGTATGTCGTCTTTAGAATGTTGATTTCGTATATCTAATGTCTCAGCATAAAATTACATACTGTCTTTGTTTGAAATTTAAAAAAAAATTGTGTTAACGATGTAGTACATGAACCAACGTTTAAAATTAAAAGTTCAAATTTGAAATGTGATCTTTTAATTAAAAGAATCTACTTGAAATTAATATATATAAGAGAAATTTTAAATAAAACATTAAAGAACTTACTCTTTTCGTCAATTTCTATCTGAATAAGAAAATAAGTGGACTTTTAAGTTGTAAAATAATATAATTTAAGTTGTAAATAAATATCATGAAATGAAGGACATTTAATTTGTATCTTCTATGTATCGACATTAGATTGTCTAAACAATTCTTTTGTACTACTTGTATCGAATGATGTTAAAAGTAAATCTCATTTTATTCAATTAAAATGTAGAAAAACGTGGATCACTTGTTGCACAACTTCCTGCTTTCTTTCGGTACATGTATGTTTATACTTATAGAATGTTGCTTATTTAAATACGTACTAGAATTTCTTTATTGAAAAAGAAAACGAGATGATTTTTCGATTAATCTAAAATCTTTTCTTGATCTACGAGGCCGTGTTCAATAGAAATGCGTGTATTTCAAGAATGTAGACAGGCAAATTTTTAAGGTTTAGCACATTTGTTGCAACAGAGAGAAATTGCAATTGGTATTGCGTTGTTTAATGACCCATGAAGTTGCTACAACTCGCATACTAACCGACAGCAAACATTATGTAAGCTGGTCATGTGGTGGACCGAATAATATAGTGCAAGGTATAATCGATACGAAACAATTTTCTTCAAATTAGTTATCTGTCCAGAAATTTTTATTACTTTCTGTAATATAGTCGTTATTCTACTTACAAATTCATTAAAAAAAGAATGAAATTTTTGTGATTTATTATTTTCAATATTAACTGTAAATCAGAAGAAAATAGCGCATTGATTTTATTTTCAATCAGTGAAAAATCACAATAGCATTTTAAGTATCTTAAATCGATTCATTAATCATTTCCTACATTGTGTAACGTCAATATGCGTTTCAACGAACGCAAACATTTCCGTCATTATATTGTAAACTAAAATATCAATACGTTACAAGTAATGCTATAATTATGAACATTAGTGTCAGAATTTTATGAAATATTTGATTTCAGAATAATCCACTATAACGAAATGTTTTTTCATACCTTATCAGAGTCTCCTAATTTAAGGAAGTTTCAAGAATCGGATAATTTAATGATTTCATACCGAATATAAACTTTATCAAATTTAGTCATCACATTCGAGACTTTGAATTTTTATCCTTTATATGCTCACAGTGCCTACGTCAAGTCATCAAGCTATGGGTTGGCAAGAAAGTATTTTCGGTTTGCACAAATAGATAGTGTTATGTTCGTTTTGTTATTCTTCTGTCAATGTTATAATTTTTTTCTTTTGAGATTTGGTAGTTGACATTTTTAAGTTACTATAGAAACAAATTCCGTGTAATTTTGTTTACAACTGTTAGTTTACGGTCAATTTTAATATGGAGTGTAAAAATAAACATTTTCGACATATTCTACTTTTTTATTTCATATAGGCAGAAAAGCGGCTGAGGCTCACAAAGAGATATGTGAAGTTTATGGTGTTGATTGCTTAGCAGAACACACGTGTCAAAATTGGTTTCAAAAATTTCGGTCTGGAGATTTTTCATTTAAAGGTGACCAACGTTCTGGTCGACCTTCTGAAGTTAATGATGACAAAATGAAAGCCATAATTAAATCGAATCGTCATATATCTGTGCGAGAGATTGCAAAAAGATTAAATGTATTATACACAACAATTGAAAATCACATAACATATCTTGGATTCGTCAAGAAGTTTGAATTGAGTTTTACTTCTTTGTCAAACCCAATAAAAAGTCGGAAGGGCAAGGGGAGACGTCCATTCACAGTGCTCGGCTCGGTAGTCGGCAGCTGTTCTATAACTATTAAAGTGAACATCCCGAGTGAAAGAGTTCTCTTGCCCCTTCAACTGTTTAGCTTGGTGGATTAACACAGGACGTAAGAGCTGCACTGTAGTTTGTACATAAATAAACTGAAAAGTTTAGAAAATTAATTTGTATATGTTTATATTAAATAACTGTACATGTAATCGTTTTTTTATATTTCTGGTACATTTATTAATATAATGTGTTTTCTATATAGTAAGAAAAATCAAATGTTTCGTATATTATTATTGATAATGATTGTAATTAGGAATTTTTTTTTGAAATTTCCATTTACCTTAACATTAATAGCTGATATAGAATACAAGATATTTCTTATTCAAGAGAATAATGTGGTCTGATAGAATTGCCATAAGTTCTACTGGAGTAGATTCGGTTCATTTCAACCAAAACATCCGAGTTCTAGATTGATACATGATAAATTATAAAATAAATTACGTAGAAGGAACTTATCGAGAAATAAGCACCTTATTATTAAAGATAAAGAACGGGATTGCTAACAGACGATTACGAAATCGTTAGTACGCCATGTGTAAATGTATTAGTTACAATCGTTCATTGGTCGATGTGCGATAAGGAACAAACATACATTCAATTCTTCGCGTTACATATTCTACTGCAATTGACAATATCGCGAAGTAAATGACAGAATCCAGGAAAAATGAGCAATAAACTTTGAATTACCGTTTCTCCGCTCTAAATACTTCACGAAGCCGCTAATAATAGAGTTATTTATGGTACTATTATTGTTACCTATTTCCGTCTGTAGTTTAAGAATAAAGTTGATTAATTTTCAAAGTCTGGAATGAAATTCATTTATCTAGAAATCTTAAGAGACTTCAAAAACTTCAGTGAACTATATTTTAAAGAATGAAGTCGCAGGTACAATCGTGAATATTTATTCACTGTTGCATTTTTTAAAACAAAATAGTTAAATATAAAAATCTCAGCAGTAAATGTTTATTTTAGTTTTCCTCGACAAATCCTCCGTTTAGGTTCCAGAAGTAATCTTTTTTCTAAAATACTACATGTTTTCTCGGCTCCATAGCGATAACGAGCTTGTTTTTCCTTATCGAAAACTTATTTCATCAGTAATTAAGTACGCTTCAACACTTTCCCTAATTTATCACGGGCAGTTAAATTATTCAATGCTATTAGTACATATCTGCTAAAGATAAATAGGCAGCTGACGAAATTACGTTGGCTTGCTTATCTCAAAGTTTATATGAATTGGAAAGAAGCATAGAAAAATTCGTTTATTTATGGAAATAAAAATAGTATTTAAATAAAGGATACAAATTAAAATTATTATTTCAATACAGTAAGGAAATTTTTCTTTTATTAAGTTTTATCAAGTGGATAAAGTATTTGCAAATAAATCAAAATGTCTCAGACAACGAAATATATTTTTGAAGATAAGATCTAGTTAAAACTTTTTCATTTTTATTTTTACTGCAGAACGATCCTCGCTGTAACACGTTCCCGTAAACTGCTCGTGAGACCGAGACTCGAAAGACCGAGATACCCGAAGTAATTAACTGTTCTGCAACGAAGATAAGCGTAAAAGCAAACAAAATTTATTTTCGATCTCCTTGGTCGTTTAAAATCTAATTGCTGTTATTCTTTTGCTCATTATCAGATGAATTTTCAACACCAGCACTTACCAGCACAGTACCAGCACTTTTTCTACTGTAACCAGTCAAATAATTGTAAATACGAAATAAATGTAAATAAGATGGACGATAAATTTTCTTTAGTGGAAACAGAAACGAAAGGAAAGATAAAAATCGGAAAACTGATCAATCGAACAAAATAGATATATTGATATCAAGTGAAATGGACGAAAGAGGACGCGGAATTTTAAATCCGGTCATTTGACCAGTTCCTGGTGTGGTTAGTGTTAAAAGTCTCTTTTAGTAGCATATAGTGCGAGATCAGAATGAATGTTTCTATTGGCGAATTTGAATATTGTGAATGCAATATATTATAGATATGTTTTTCAGTAAAATCAGATTGATTATACTGTGGAACAAATTTGAACTTTTTTTATTTTTTACAATAACCACTAGGTGATTCTTATAGAGTTCCTTACTCTAAATACGAATCCGAAAACCAAATTGTTGGGTCACGTCCAGTTTTCGAAAAAACTGGGTTTTTGTAAAAACGGTCGAATTTTTCAGAGAACCAAGTGTTACGTGAAAACTAAAAGCAATAGGCAGTCAAAATTTGTTGTAGAAAATAGAGTAGACTTGCCCGAATATGTAGCTATAAAAATTTTGAATTTTGTTTGTCACTAAATGTTTGTAAACAATGATCAAAGTTTAAAAAAGGGTAGATGCGTGTACTTTGTATGCACTTCTGTTACATTTCTACGAAAAGTGGGTTGGCTAGCACGAATTTGCTGTCCACCATTGGATTCTGCAGACATTTCTGAAGAGGAACCCCCCCGCGGGAAGCGTGAGATTGGTTTTTCTTTGGGACAGAGTAAGAAAATGTCCGCGAAGAGCGCGTGCACGGAATATCTGCGTATTTGTGTATTCGATATGCGTATTCACATATTAAACATCAAATTATTTAAAACAGAACGATCGTGAAAAACTTTTTCATAACTATTATGAAAATTTGTAAAACAATTAAACATTATATATACATATAAGAAGTGACCAGGGTTCAGGTGTATACACCGCGTAGTCACGGCCCTGCATAGCTGTGGCTGGCGAACGATGGCCGTATGGCGCGAAAGTTCTGTTATATTAACATTTTGCAGTATGATTGTTCACTGGATATTATATTAAAATTGTTATAAAATAATTCCCTAATATAAGCAACGGTATTAGAGGTTAAATAGTCATAAACAGCGATGGAAAGTGTATAACCCGAAATAAATAAAAAATATTCCCAAAAATGGAATTTATAAGCGATACATGCATTGAAACGGACAAAACTTATGCAGTAACCTTATATTTATATGGATAATATCAAGCTACTCTTTTATCGACGGAGCACTGCATCCTGTCATCATCGACGAGGTCATTGATGGTGCCACCATACGGATAGCGTTAAAAGTGCACTATGAAATACTATAATATAGATTTGGATTACATTATTTATTGCCGTAATATAATATATCGAATGACAGTAATGATCACAAATTCGATGTTTATATCAGTTTTTCGCATAGAATACGATTGCTTTCATTTTCTTACATATGATTTTTCATTTATGAGGAAGTCAATGCAGTTTTCATTGATTTTGAGGAGCCTTTTCATTGAGGCAATTTTGATCTTTTTGACTATGTTAAATGATCTGTGTTGTTTTAATGCTTATGTAGAATATGTAGAATTGATTATTTATACAATCAAGTTGGTGATTCTAACGTGGAATAATTTAGATAGTTCCCATATGTATCAATACATCATTACTGTCGGCACAGTTCGAGACGAAGGAAATTTCCGTTGCATAGTTTAGACTTAAGATCTGTCTTTGTTCATATAGTATTTTCTAAAAATTAAATATAATATCATTCATAGATTATTTTGGTTTAGTTTTTTTTAATACACGCTAAAAAGTTACATTCTTTTTAAGTATGTACTTTTGATATCCTATTAATGGCGAGATCAAATCAGGGAACGAATAATAAATTACGAAAAGTATTCCGAAAATTCAGTATTATTTAATTACTTTTTTCCTTAAGGTATAATTGTAAACGAATAGTTCAATATAATAGTAAAACATTAATAAAACCCATTTTACATGAACTTAAAAAGTTTACTTTTTATCAAGATCCCATAAATCCAGTCATCTTACATTGGAATAAAATTGCAGTCAATTATGAATTACGACAATAGGAATGAAAAATAGTAATGTAAACAGTATCGACTATTATTTTATTACAACGTAACTGGAAAAGATCAATCTTATTATCCAATTGCAAGTTGATTGCCCCAAAATTATCAACGAAAACCCAGATCCGATTGGAAAAGTTAATATGAAAAGTGTTTCAATTATATGAGTTTTAAGGAGTATAAAATGCCAGCAGAATATTTACCATAAACGAAATATAAACCAAAGTAAACAAAGAATATTAGAATTATAACAACTGCATCTAATTGAAACATTTGAAACATTTTCGGATAAACTGAGATTGTATGGTACAACTATCATTGCCGAGTAACATATCAATTGATAATAAATTAATAATTATTCAATATAGACGTTTAATTTGTCAATATTAATCTAAGTATTAATTATTCTAGTACATTAGACTGATTTTATTCTGAATCTAGACCAATTGAAATATACGGTTGCTGACATGGCCGTCTTTTCACTGAATATTCCAAGGGCTGGACGTGTAACCGAATTAAATGTGTCCATTAATTAATTTATTACTCATGGATTACCGAGTTGCTAGTAACAGATCGATGAACACCAGTTGCTTGCATCCAAGAAAAAATTTTGTTTCCAAGGGAGTGTGATGCATGCGTAATCATTGTTATCAGGACTATTTCTGTTCGGGTGGAGGCTCGTGGAAAATCTCCTTAGGGTTTACGCGGTTGTAATTGAAGAACGGGCATGCAGTGTTCTCCGAGACAGTAGCTGATTACTGCATGCGAACGAGATTTGTCAATGAATAATGTCGGAATCGTACAACATCGGCGCCAAGAGTTTCCCAGCAATGGTGTGCCATTGAAATATCTGAATAAAAGAATTTCTATATCAGTCGCATTTTTATCTACACACCGTCCCAGAGATTTCATCACATACGTTGACACGTGTGCGCACACTTTCGAGGAAACGCACCTAGTTGATAATTGTGAATCGGTGGAACAACTTAAAATTAAAGAAAATAAGCAACAGTAAGTAGAAACGTTTTCGTCATCAATGGAACATTTTCGATTCAATTGAAAATAAACGCGATTTATCGTGGTTTTAACGGATCATGTGGTTTCTAAACGGTGTACACTTGTCCCTTGGTTTACGAGGACGTTTTTTACGCCATCAATTAGAACAGTATTTAACCGGTAGTTTTTATCGGCGATCTGAATTTAATAATATCGAATAAAATGTACTTTTATTTTCTGAAATGTCATTATTATTATTTCTTTTGTTTGGCTATGCGACATAAATATGTCTTATTCCACGAATCCACGTGGAACGGATTTTTACGTAAACTGAAGGGCAGGTATATGTGTAAATTTATTATGCATGGAATGTATTTAGGACGACTATATATTTATATTAGGACGATTATATTTTATATCGAAGGGATTAATGGTAATTAGAAACAATGAGTAACGAAATCAAGCATTGAAAATACACACACTATCGTATAGTTCTTGATTATTTCCAGTTGAAATTTTATTCTGATATTATAGTGAAGACTGAGATTTTCTTTATCAATATTTAAATTGTTTTGCCTCAAGTTAGGATATTATTCACAAAATTTTTGCTATTGAATAGTTGTCTTTTTTATTGAAATGGCACAGTACATTTATCAGAGGGTACAATTCTATTTGACAGGAACAACATTTGTTCAATTATTTTCAATTCTGTTATGTATGTTCATGAACCTTGTAATTAATTATAAAATAGATTTATATAAATATAAATAAATAATAACTAATAAAATAAATTTACATTTCCATATTTGTATTCAACTTTAAAATTCACAATCCACACGTTTGATTATACTATTTATTAAATAGTTTTTTAAAAATATTTATAAAAGAATTTTTTATAGTTTATATGGATAAAAATCTTTTTTATACAGAGTATATATAATTTGATGAAATTAGTTTTAAGAAAAAAACATTTATTAATCAGATTAAACACTCTAAATTGATAAGATTTTCAATTTATTTATAAATTGATAACTCTAACGTAATAATAAAAGTCAGGATATTGAAATATTATCGAAAGGATCGATATATATGATTATAAAAAGTAAGTTAATTAGAAATTTAATGTAACGTTATTAATTTCTGATAACGAATGTCAATAGTGATAATAATATTCGTATTAACATTTTCCATCACTTCTGCATTTACGTCCACATCAGCACGTTCACTGACGTGAACATGAGTATTTTTTACCCATACTTTACTAATATTTAACATTAAGTTTTCGGACAGCGCGTTTGACGCATATTGAATTTTATAAATATTATTTGTCAAATACTTTCGTCAAGTTTGATTGATACAATCATTAGAATACGAATCTTAATAATCCACTTTTAAACCCCTAATTTCCAAGATCGAAATGAACGAACATCGATTCTTTTAGAAATAATAGAATAAACTGTAAAAGAAATGTCCGTAAAGTGTCAATATCCTAGTTAATCCGAGTGTCAATTTTCAATATTTAAAGTTTAATATTTCATAGTATGCTAATCGTAATGAAGATTCTTATTTGACTTAGTAATTTTTGACAATAAATTTAGACATACATATTTCAAAATACATTAAATACGAAAATATCTCTAATTCTTTATTATATATTTCATTTTTATTAAAAGGAAATATTTTCCAATTTAAATTTCCCACTTAC